TGGATCTTTAACTTAATATTTGAGTAAGTCAGACACTTTCATGTCACATAATAATGTTGTAGGCTCTTACTATTGAAACTTGAGGGAAATTAGTGACATTGTGCTTACTGGTCTACTGGAAAGCACTTTGACTCAGTTTCTGTTGTTTCAAATGTGCTGTATAAATAACAGTGACCTGACTACATCATAAGATCCTATCAACAAATCACACTGATGACCTATGTGGTGATTAAAGAAGAAAGAAATAACACAAGGTCTTTATTGAAACAGCAGAAAGTTCAACCCGGCTTGACACGTTTTTTTTTGTTTTGTTTTTTTTAACGTTTGTGGGTGTGTATCAACTACAACCAGTAAAACCAATTGTGTGTTGCTTCATAACATAACACCTTTGCTGGGGCTCATCAGCGTTAAAGTCATTATTAAACATGTTGTAAATGTTAATCTGTTTAAATACATTCATAACATTTCACAAAGCACTCATGGAGCTGCAGACAGTTGTTTAAAGTTTATTTACAATCAATATGGAGTTTAAAACAAATTTAGCATTTCCAATAATGCATCAAGAAATAAATCACTGATGAGGAACAAACAGATGACAGATTAAATTCATGACATATGGCTGTAGTTTTCACACAGTTTCAGCCATGTTCTTCCAGCAGGATGTGAAAATGTTCCAAAGAGCTTCACAAAATCTCACATCACTGCTACGCTGATGAAGGATGAAGGATGATACCAAAAATACAGCAGCCTGTACCAGTACTACATTTATCCAGATGATCAGCCTGGTTCTTCTCCTGGCTCCACCACCACCACCATCCAGACTCCATCTGGTCTAATCATCAAGGACTGCTGACATATTTCCTCACAATTATTGTTGAAGCACAGTCTGAAGCTGCTGTAAAACATTCAACCTGTTAAAGTTATTTCTTCCACAGATGTTTCAGAATGACGGCTTCTCACCTGTGTGAGATCTCATGTGGACTTTCAAATTGGGTCCTTGACTGAAACTTTTTCCACAGGTTATACAAGAGTACGGCTTCTCACCTGTGTGAGTTCTCATGTGGACTTTCAAATGAGGTCCTTGACTGAAAACTTTTCCACAGGTTTCACAATAGTATGGCTTATCACCTGTGTGAGTTCTCATGTGGACTTTCAAACTACCTCCTTCACTGAAACTTTTTCCACAGGTTT